CACAGGACCCAGCAGTGTTTCGTTCTGTTGTACAGAGGGTCGCTATGAGTCAGAATTGACTCGATGACACCTAACAATAACAAGAAAACAATTTTTCAGCATCTGAATTTGACAAAATATTCAAAAGAATGATTTTTTTTTTGGTAGAAAATATTTGTGGGAAAAAAAAACTCTCTGGATGGAAACAAAAAGATAGTAGGTACTGTGAAATATTTGGACTGAAGTATTTACATATTTCATACAAAAAACAAATAGAATTGAGAATACCATACATTTAGCAGACTTTATGTTGGGCTTACTAGATAGATACCTTTGCTCTTGTAAAGAGAGTATTTTCTCAATTAAAAATACTGTGGTCTCCAGAGAGGTGTCACTTGAGGGAGTCAGCAATTTCAAACCAATAAGCAAAAGGAAGGGGAAAAAATGCTCCACAATTCAGGATCACCTCTGTCAGTGTTTTGTTTTATATCCTTCACATGAGTATATACTGGATATAATACTTTGTAACATAATTATTTCTCCCTTTTTCTTCATAGATCACATAGCACTTATTTCCGTATTCATTTGAGCTCCTATCTTAGGCTACTTGGACATTTCATTTACAATCTTTCTCCAGCCCCTCCAGTTGTATGTGGTCAGAGAATGTGTGTTATGCCCAATTTGACATCAGGACATAGTACTGATACCTGATACACACAGGAGTCACTTTATACCTGTTTCTTGATTGAAATGCATGAACAAAGTAGACTCCTATTGCCAATCTGTCTTTGAAACCACCATCAAAATAGCATGTGTTGTTCTGTTTTCTATTTTCATAGGTATCGTGCTCCCGAAGTTTTATTAAGATCTTCAGTGTATAGCTCTCCCATTGATGTGTGGGCTGTTGGGAGTATAATGGCTGAACTATATACATTACGACCACTTTTCCCAGGGACAAGTGAGGTTGATGAAATCTTTAAAATTTGCCAAGTTTTAGGGACTCCCAAAAAGGTAAGTACTCTTGCCCCTAAGGGTTTTTTTATATA